ATCATAAATCCATTTTCCAAAAAAAAAAAAAAATATTTCGATATATTTTAAAAAATAAAATAAAATTTCACCAATTTGTTTTACATAATTAGATTATGTTTGAATTATTCAACGTACCAAAGACAGCAGTGATACCAAAGTCAGTACTTGCGTTATATAGTAGTGGTAGAACAACTGGCTTGGTGGTAGATTCTGGATACGACTACACACAAGTCATGCCTATTTTCGAAGGATATCCATTGAATCATGCTGTTCAAACAATGTCAGTTGGTGGATGGCATATAACACAATATTTGATGGAATTATTAAATAAGCGTGGATACAATTTTAATCCTTCAAAAGATTTTGAACTTATAAACAACATTAAAGAAAAATTGTGCTATTTTGCTTTGAACTTCGAATTTGAAAGAGATATGTATACTGAAGAAAAGAAAAAACAATATATACTGCCAGACGGAATGGTGATCAACGTCGAAAGCGAAGCGTTAGTATTTTATACAGTAAATAAAAAAATTGACACTTAAGGGTTAAAATTGGATAAATAGTATGTTGAGACTAAAAAAAAGGTAAACACGAGAGAAATTTGAAAGGTTTAAAAATGATGTCTAAAAAATATCGAAATCGTACCTAATAGGTATGGCATAACCATAATTATATTTATGGTGTATTTATTATATATGTTACGGGCAAAGTAGAAAGTCGGGCATTGTGCATAATAACCGGGCACTGTGCACAATGCCCGATTTTCAAGGGCAAAGTTGGAATAAGTTAACGTTGCCCGGGAATTGTATACAGTGCCCAATTAGATTTGGGCACAGTAGATTAAATATTGAATATTATATAAAAAATTAATAATAAAGATATTAAAAATAAATAAAGTTGCACAGCTTTAATATTTAATTTATTTATTATTAAATTACAATTATTATTTATTTGCTTTATTTATTACCACATACACCACTATTATGACACTTTAAGTTGCAAAAACGACCAAATCTTTTACATTTACAACGGTTGGTCTTACACAATGTATTGCAAGTACACCTATCGTACCCTTGGCTACCCAAATTAGCAGATTTTCTTGCTACTTCTCTTAATGAAATTTGTACTGGTGGTACATCATCAGCCTGGATAAACACCTTTTTACATATTGTGAATTGGTTCCGACTGACTGTAGAGTTGATGTAGTCTGCCCTCGTTTGTTCCAATTTCATATAAATTATCTTTTACTATAAAAAAAATTATTAATTTAAAAATTATTTTATAATTAAAATTATTTAAAATTAATTGCCAGAAATTATAACTCTCAGAATACACCGAAGATCACACTTGAATCTGGGCAGAGTACACTTTGCCCGGGCAATCTAGTACAATACGCGGTCAATGTATGACAAATTTGAGTATTAAAATGATCATTCTTACATTGGCCAAAATGTTCGGGCATTAACAATGTTTTCAATGTTTTTGTATAACAATGCCCGGATTTCCTATTTTGCCCGTAACATAATATATATTTTTAATTCTCTAAATAAAACGATTATCACACAATACATACTATACTCGTATTATAGGTTCAGTTTATTTTAAATATACAATAAGCTGAATTATAAGAATATAATTATCGGTTTATTTATTTGAGTGTATATTGTTATAGCTTCCAATCACCTGAAATATTGTTTGATCCTCTTTTGTTCAACATCGAATCAAAACTAGGAGGTATCCACAACTTGATATACAAAGCATGCAGTGCTTGCGATCATAAAGAACAAACAAATATATACAACAACATCATATTGGCTGGTGGTAATACGATGTTTCAATTTCTACCCATTCGTTTGGAGAAAATGGTAGCTGATTTAGTCACATCTTCTATTAGCATTCAAATAAAAGCAAACCCCGAACGTAAATTTTCTACATGGCTTGGCGGTGCCGTATTAGCTTCGATGCCCAGCTATCAACAAATGTGGATCAGCAAGGAAATGTACGAAGAAAAAGGGTCTGAAGCTATACATGAAAAAAGCTTAATTTAATTTATGTTAATGTATGCACTTTTGCAGTTATTTTCAAATAAGCGATCGTAATGGATGTTTAATAACAATTATTTTCTTTTCACAAAAATCTCTATTGTCATTAGATTGTTACCCATACTGCACTAAGTTTAAAATATAATACCTACACAATGAACACATTGTATACAGTGAATATAGTATTATATTAATCATATAAAACACTTGCCATCTGCCTACACCTATGCAACTGTGTGAAATATGTATAGTAGAAAAACACAAAATTATGGAATTCATCCAGAAATTCAAATTTGCCGATCAGAAGTTTCGATTGGTCTATATGTGCCGAGACCGTTTACAAAATGCTAATGCAGCCTGGATATTTAAGGCTTAAACAATCGCGTCTGAAAGTTTTCGGTCATTTGTTGTATATGTAAATTCTTCTTCAGTGGAACCGAGTAATCTTGCACATTCGATGGGTCTTTTATTGAATCTTGTCCGTGGAATACTCAGATGGATACTACAGACTCTGACCACGATCGTCTTTCCTAAGCGCCTCTTGGATGACGGGTAGGCAACATATCAAAGTCAATAATGGTCCATGAATCACTGATAGTACTTATCGCCGTCCGATAGTTGTGTAGGCAACTATTAGTTCCATATCAAAGTGATTGTTAAATTTGTCCATTTTAGTTGTGTATACTGTATAAAAATACAGCGATGGATACTATTAACCCAAACCAAGTTCTGGAAAAAAAATAAACATTTTGGGGTATCACATTTAACGGAGGGAAAGAGTACATTTTATAATTGTAGAGAGAGCTTAAAAGATTTTTCGTAATGATAAGTGAAAGCAAACTTTAAGAGAAAAGGGGGCGTAAAAATTTGTGCACCTATAGGACGCTAAAATCCTAAATATGCCTCTGACCAAAATTAAGTCAATTAAGAGAGGACAAGATTTATGCCTATGCCTCTTATATATAGGTAATTATACAAATTTCTCATGATGGGTTGTTGGGTTTATTTAAAAACCATTTATTCACGCTGTAATAAAATTATAAAAGTAATATTATGTTTAATATACTTTATTTCAAAATGTCAAACTAAAAAAGTCTATAAAAGTATTTGACTCACAAATCCTCCTAGTATACACCCCTTAGTACTTATATCAACTGATTGTTAATAGTAATCGAAATTGATTTAGAATGAGTTTATGCATCAAATGGTGAATGCTATAATTAGAGGTCAAACAAGGTGAAAAATTATAAGCATAACATGTAATCGTAAAATGTGGACTATGTTATAAAAAATAAATAAATAAATTTATAATTTGCATGTATTAAAAAAAAAATACAATAAGTAGGTAAATGAGATAATAATTACATAAACTTAACTTTGAGATAAATAATGAACAGGGAAGCTAACTAATGATAGGACCTTAGCTTGGTTAAATCGGTGGCGATTTAATCTAAAAGATCACGACACCACTCTCTTTTAAGGCAATGAGGAGGGTTGAAAGGAATTAAGACAGTGTGCTGTTTTGTAATTGAAGGGTGTGGGTGATCGAGTATTTCGGAGTGGAATTTTTCATACTGACTTTTATCTAAATTAACATTTGAAGATTATATTACCTACCAAGTTAACGTGTTGCACAGTCTCGCAGACATTTTAAGAGTAGCTTTAATTTCGCTACCTACAAAAATTATTTTCCAATACGATTGACTTGTGCATACCTAGCGGTTAATGATAAATAAAAAAAAATTAAATTAAATTAAGCATTATCAGGGCTGTGTTAAGCTTTTTGGCGCCCAGGGGCACAGATGTAAGTTGAGAAGTSACCAACAGCGGTTTATCAATAAGCTCGAGGCACCTCTTGATTTTATTAATCTGTGGCGCCCAGGGGCAAATGCCCCCTTTTCTCCCCTTAACAAGGCCCTGAGCAGTATTATATAATATATATATGTATATATGTTCTATACAATTCTAACAAGTACTACCTATATCTATTCATTATTATTTATAACCGATTTAAAGTGAGAAAAGTTGAAAACCATACAATTTTATAATATTTTGTTGAAATAAATTTAAAAATTGTTTAACTTATATTATTAAATTTAAGTTAATAGTATTGACTTTACAGTGGTAACTCTGTATGTGCTACTTTATGATATTTAAATTTTTATATCGCCAAGAGTCACTAATGGGTGACTGCTTAATCACGCCTTTCGTGTTATTTCTTTTTTGTGTTGTTTGTTTTTTTTTATATTTCTTATCAAATAATCTTATTATGTTAATATTGTAATTTATAAAAGTTTTATGTTAAAAATGTTTGTTAATTATAATATAAAAATTAAAATATCGTAAAAGAGCTAACTTAGGGATGCAGATAATAAGTTTGCTGCAAGATGAATTCACTCTAATATTAAAAGTAATAAGATACATAACAGAAGCCAGTAAGGATTGGTTCTACTAAATTTAAATTCGCTATATAGGGTGTAACAGTACTATTTGACAAATATAGTAATATTTGTAATGGAAATTTGTTAAATAGTCCTGTTACACCTTATATTGGCCTGGGTCAGAGAGAGAAAACAAATAGTGCGCTGACATCCTCTTAATTATAAAGTCAGCAATATTAAATATTTGAAATCTTTATCTCTCATGTAGTCATGTAACCAAATTAACATGCTACAATTATTAAGCGTTAAGAAACCACGTTAATTATTAATGATTTACACAATTTTTTTAACTAGATTATTTTTCTTTTAATAATCCCAATAATTTATTTAATAGTTTAAAATTTTAGTTGACAATCTTATGTCAATTTAAATAATCTAATTGGAAAAAATCAGGTGTCTACTATCTCATATATGATAATATCCAAATTACAGCAAAAATAAAAATTATAATTCACTTAATATTTTCTTTATATGATATTTTTTATTAACATTTTTTTTTTTTTTATTTTTATTGTGTGATTGAGCATTCTGCTTATTACTCATAAGTATAATATGTAATAATTTTTTCGCCTCCTTTGTATGCTGTTTGGTTAAATTGTGGTGGAAAAATTTTTTTATTTTTATGTTTACGTAAGCCATGTTTTTCATTCTCCATTTTCTGTTTTTTAGTGTATTCTTGACACTCCACCGTGAAGATATCATCTTTAGTTGGATTTTCTATTTTAATTTCGTCCATTAAAATTGTATAAAGTATTTTAGAATCATGCTTTTGACCCCATCCAATATACATATAGTCAGTTTGGCTGTTAACAGTTTTATAATTTATGATTAGAATTTACTCTTGTCAAATGCCATAGGTATCACCAATAGTTACAATTATTACTCAACGGTTAAAGTGAAAATTATTTGAACGATAACTTATAATTATAACAACATAACAATAGTCTCTATTCTCTAACATTCAAACAGGCTATAGAATAATATTTAAACATTAACCACGTATCATAGCTTAAAATCTAAAGTAATACCCAATTAAATTGATTTACATTGGATAGTTATGGTCAGATTATTTTATTATGGTCAGAATGAGATTACAGAGAGAATCTTTCCCATCATCACCCCCCTTCGATCCGAAGTATGTGTAATTTACCAATGCTTATTGGTCTAAAACATATGAAAAATACGTTTGCTTTGATCCACTTTTAATCATAAATATTGTATTAGTGGTATTACTACAGAGATTATTTTTTTTAAACCACTGAGGTACTGGATGAAACGTTTAACTTTAATCCTTTTTTATATCATAATAATCATTATAACCTACAAACTACCATATAAACATTTTGAACGAAAATATACCAACCAGTGTAAAGTTTATTTAAATTATAAGTAGGYACTTATATACATTAAATTAATTAATTTACTTCTTTTTTGTAAGTAATTATTATTTTTATTTTATTTTCGACAGTAAACGTCATACCATTATAACATTATAAGTTATAACTGCAGAAATAATAACTTAATAATTAGTTAAATTCTTAAAAATTAAAACCAAAAACTGACATGCTTACTTTAATTAAAATTACTTAATTACTTTTTAAAAACGAATACTCTGAATAAATTTTAAATGTAACATACAGATTATAAGCAACTGCAAAAGCTCCAGGCCATACATGCGATTTCATTATTGTGTGAGAGTAACGAGAATTAAACGGAGAGCAAAGAACACCTTTCCATGCTGATGTATTGTCAACAGAGATATCATTTCCTATGTTTCCAAACAAATCATCCTTAGAATTTAATACATGTTCAACATAACTCAATTTTTCCTCTTCTTCAAATTCTTCAAGATTTTCTTCGTTTTTTTTTGAATCAGACAGATTAGAAAAACCTAATTTGTAGGAAACTCCATTAATATCTATGTATGGATTCTTATGCACCCAATAATTTACATTCATTAAATTATTATTAGAAATTGGTTTGGTATTTTTGTTGAAAATAAGATCTTCATTTTCTGAAATCAAACATAAAAACTAAGTTCATAGGTACTTACAAAAATGTACATAATTAATATGTATACATAATATATGATATAATATCGTATAGTATGATATATTTTTATGGGTATTTACCTATATATACATATAGAGATAACAACAAAATATTTATGTTCAAAATTGTATTGTTTATTATTCAAGAATAATTTATTTTATTAAAATTGTATTATATTATATTTTTATTTTTAATTTAATTTTTTTGACATATTAACAATTCTTAAATTCAATCACTTTAACTTCAAGTACCTAATTTATTATTGTTTAAAAGTTATATTTTTTTTTTAGAAATACAATGCATGATAAGTCTGGTCGCTTTTGAATTAGGTATTTAGTTATATTTTTGCGTTAATTGTAATTTTGCTTATATTAATAAGTACATAAAATTCAATTTACTTGGTATATACATTTACCAAAGTTAAAATAATTAATTGTAATTTTTAATAGGTAAACAACGATACAATATTGTTATAAAATTAATTTAAACTCACTAAGGTAGACTTTATGTAATAATGATAATATTAATATGAATAATAGAATATTTAGAAAAAAATAAAGTATGCCAAACCTATCTATAGTATTATTAAAAAGTATATGGCCGTGTGTCAGAATTTCAGTTTTCTCTATTACTATTTGCAATTGATATAAAATTAAATAATATTATTGTTTTTAAATTATTTGTAGTAAAAAGAAAAAAAAATTAATTATACCTCTAAGATTCAGTAAAACAACAAACCCAAAAAACTTAACTATATTTTATATTAAATACAATTGTGATCCTACTTTTTTGGGTAGTAATTAATGAATTAGTCGATCTTTTGTCTGATATTCCGCTCCAAGATTTATTTTTTTCATCTATAATGTAATATCCACGTGGACATATTTGAGTGCTTGATGATATTCTTGCAATTTGAGCTCTAAGATAATCATTTTCTAAACCATTGAACTTAGGAAAACTGTTTATCTATGGTTAATAAACATTAAAACATAATTAATTAATAATAATTAAATGTATTTAGTTAAAATACTAACCGGATAGTTTAATTTTCCGGTGAAATATCGTTTTATTTTTCTTGCTTCAACTATATGATGTGGTTTAACTGATTCTAGTTCAATCCATCTAGTATTTAATTTATTTGTGACAAAATATGCCTAAATTTTACATTTTCAAAATAAATATTTTTATGAAATATTATATTAAGTAAATATACATTTTTGTTTGCACCAACTCCGAACAATTCAGGTGATACCAGAGTTTTTGACGAGGATCTCAGTGTTGTTGTGCAACAGCTGTCACTATCATTTAAAGAAATCCACGAATCGTAATGATTGATTGAATTTTCTGCCATTTCACCATCAAGATATGATTCAATTTCATCTTCTGTTTCTAAAGCATTATGTGTATCTATTAATTTGGTTTCTTTTTGAAGTGAATGACTATGAGTGACATCATTATCTATTTGGTTTGACGATTTTGAGTTATGACTTACACTGTTTACAGTCTAAATCCCCATTAATAAAAAAAATACACAGATAAAAAATATAGACAAGAGGTGAATTTTAGATTCTTACCAATAGTTTACGCTCCAATTCTACGTCTGACCATTTGCATTCTATTACATAATACATTTTTTTTATCCCAAATATTTTTCCCCAAAATCTAAAAATAATTTGAATAATATTGTCTGTTAGTTGTTTGAATTTTTTTAGTTTAATTATAATCGAATAATCATACCTTATGCTTTCAAATTTCTTTAATTGAGCCATTTCATTCATGGTTAGGTATATTAATGATGCTTCATCCATTGGAAGTCCAAAACCAGCTTTGTTAAACATATAATTCACTTCACAAAGATTTTGAACTTGCACAATATCATTGTTATCATTCATACTTTTTTTCTCTTCACGTTGATCAATTTCTGACTTAATGTTATTTTTTTTACTATTATTATATTTTTGTTGTTGTTCAAGTTGTTTTTTCAATGCACACTAAAAACACGAATTTCACAACTGTGCCCTGAATAGTACGAATCGATATTTTACCTATGATGTAAACTAGGTATATGCCTATAAACGCAGAAACGCCAGGAACGATGTAGTTCATATAAATAATAATATACTAATACCTGTACATATTACATATACTTTACACAATTACACCATATTAACTACGCTCACCAACAAACAATTAAATATTAAAACACCTATGACAATATTAATAGTTGATACCGGACTATTAATAAGTAAGGATTAGGAACTAATTATTCACTGTAAACAAGTAAACATATTCTATAAAGGTTCTGTTTATGTAATGAAAACGTGAGCATTATTATGATGTAACATTTAATTGGTCCATACTACTTTCCCGTCTAACCAGTTCTCACAATTTTTTAATATTTTTATTTTTGATAAACCAACAATCTGTTACATACAATTCATAGGCGGAAATGGGGGGAGCTTAGCCCCCTCAAATATTGTAATAGTCCCCCAAAATTTTGTCAGGTATCATGAGAAATGTGATTTTATTTGAATATAGTTTTTTCTAGTTAATTTAGCCCCCCCTCCCCCCAAAAATGTCTACCTATGGATTACAATTACAATAAGAGGATGGATGGGATGTATATTTACACATACCTATGTGTAGGTACATCTTTACACATATTTACCTTAAACATTTGTAAACTCTTAAAGCAATAATTCCGGTTTATGTTATCAACAAAGACACGTTCAAAATTGACTTCTTTGTAAATATATGCACGCTTCAACATCATGCTATACTTTTCAAAATGTTCTAGTGGATTTTTAGGTTTTTCTAATAATATCTTAWCTATAATGTCTTGTAAATGATTATACCTAAACATAAAATTATGCACCTGTGAGCATTCTAATCATCATATCAAATATCATATTTTGCATTAGAAAAAAATAATATTAAAATCTATAATACTAATAAATGCTCTATGAAAAAGAGCGGAAAAACTGAATAATTATAAAATAAGTAAGGTGGATGTAAGAAAAGTTAATAATAATGTATTAAATAACAATGATCACATTGATAACAAAATATTATTTAGGTACATAAATTGCTAAAAATATAACATGCTACATAAAGTTAACGGTTTTGGATTGCACAAATATCAAGTTGCTAGTAAAAGACATTATTTTACAAGTTATTTTTCTTACTAAGGGTAAAAATGTATGCATATTTGTATCATTTTCAAATAAAATGAATAACATTCATAGTTTTAGAAATTATTTGTTCTACTTAATATTGTGCCTGATTTAACTAATTATTGTAATCACAATAAAATTAGGTATCGAAAAAATATAATATATTGACTCTACTTTTTTACAAGCGTTTTAAGTTAAAATTATTCTGTTACAATTCATCAAAATCATTAAATTGTTCAAATTATTTTTTAGTATAAAATTCATTACATTTTTATAAATCATATTTAAGGCTTATGTAAGTTTGAAATTGTTATACAAGTTTCAATATACATTTTACAAAGAAACTAGAACTATAATTATAGACGAGTGTAATTACACAAATATTTTCGATGAACGTGTAAAGCTAAAATTTCAGAGAACTTGGATGTTCACCAATAATAAAATCACGATTTCTTTTCAAACGATTTAAGTTTTTTTTAATGGAACTCGATGAGTATTAATCATTAGAGATTTGAAACATTCCACAAATACTTAAATTAAAATTGTCTTCAATTTGTTTCAAACAACACAACAATTAATAGTTGTTACATAAATCACAAATATAAACAAAAATTATGTTAAAGTCATATTTAAATATATTTTAACCTTTAATCCATTTTGCCTTGGTGTTATAATACTTATTAGGTATAAACAGTTTAATGTTTAAACCTATTGATACAGTTCGCTATCAATTGCTATATGATCCATTGATAAAAATCTGTTGTAGCTGTATTAGCTGCATTAATTACTACACCTAACATGTCCACTAGATATTAATGATACCTGAACATCATGTAAATAGACCTTAAATACTTACACATTAACATTCCCATCTTCTTTTTTTAACAGTCCAATTGCATAATTAATGTCAATATCATATTGAAGTTCTTTCAATTTTGTTACACCACACGTAAATAATGATTTGAATTGGGCTGACTGAGATGAAACTTTTGATGTATCACTTATTTTTTTGACTGTTTGTACATTATTTTTGATTTCTTTTGACAATGTGTTCTTTGGGTCTGATATCGAGTTTTCAATTTCCGTATTAGACATTTTTAATAAATAGCTTATTGCTCTTATAAATTAAACATAACTAATGCATATTAAACAGATTTAATACTGATTAAGAACAGAAATACTTCAATTTTTAGTACTATTTTATTTACATAAGATATTAGGTCATGGAACTGTTTATTGTCATAACAAACAGTACTTATCTATGTGGTGTTAACTTGGATGTAACTACAGTTACCATTATTTATTTGGTTTTGAATTTCTTTTAGTTAATATTCAATTTATTAAAACTAAAAACTGTATTAAGATGAATGTAGTTTTTCTATATTTATAAATAAATATCTAGCTGTAGTACAATCTAATTTCGCAAGAAAAAAATTAGGCTTATCCCAGTTCACTGGCAAATCAACGTCTATGCACCTCGCTTATGAACTTATTCAACCGAGATGGGATGCCTATTTTGAAAGCAATTAAATTTATACTTCCTACTTATCTACATTTTTCTGATATCACTAAGAACAGTTTTTAATATTTTGGTTAAAATCAGTTACATAGTTTTCGAATATATAATAAGCTATAAACATACTTTTATTTTTCTATATTATTCACTATAAATATGTCTTATATAAATTGTACAAAAATATATTTTATTTCTGTAACCAAAGGCAACGCTATAATATTCAAACAAAAAAACATTGGATTTTTGTGAGCCAAAATRAAATGAAATGGTAAATACATAATAGCTTGTAATAATTGAAAAGTATTGGTCTTAAAACCAAGGCTGGGCATTAACGCATAAATAAGTTAAAGCTAAGTTAATTTAACTTTTTAACTTAATAAGTTTTTTTTTATATATTTATTAACTTAATTAATAACTTTAGGAGCTTTTGAATTACCTAACTTGAGTTAATTTTACATTTAAACAAGTTAAGTTGATTTAATTTAATTTTGTGAACTATTGTAGGAATACAAATTGCTGGTAGGTACACATTTTATAAGGTTATAAGTTTATAAGTATCCTAACAAAATGTGTACTGTTAGCTTTTGCACACATAAAATAGTAATAGTTCTTTGGTCTAATAACATGAACAATTTTAGATACCGATTATTTTAATTTTACCTATAAGAAAACAAGAAACTTTTTTTAACTTAACTTGAGTTAAAAAGTKAATATTAAATTTTGGTTAACTYTTAACTTAATTCAATTGATAGAAMATTTTGAATTAACTTTTAACTATTAACTTGATTTAGATTTTAATTTAACTTAACTTAACTGAGTTAAAAAAAATCATTAACTTGCCCAGCCTTGCTTAAAACTACGAGGAGACATTATGTTTAACATTAGAGTGAGTATGTGAAATATATTACCTATATAAAAGTGTATTTTTTTCTTTTTACATTAATTTTGCTAGTCCACTTTAGGGAAGAAATTGTATATGTTTTTGGAGCTCTTTTCGCCAAGTACTTGTTTCATCATTAATGGATTTCTGAGAGTGTGTCTGGCGTTGTTAAGGCATTCTACTATTGAGTACTTTTCTAGCGTGACATGTTTAATCGTCAATTCTTTGTCACAGAGTTCACAAGTCGGGCAATCTTCTTTCGTTATAAGGTGCAACTGTGTCWGACGAGAATGTCCAATCCAAGACCTTGTGACTACTATTTAATAGCTATAGAACTAGATAAGTTAAAAATGAAGGTTATAATTACAGGTCTTGAGATCGATTTCAAAAACGATTTTAAATATCGATAAAAAATCGTTAAAATTGCTTAAATAAAATCAAAATTAATATCGAAATCGTGAATGCTTGTTAATGATTTTCAAAATTTCTATTAAAATTGAAAAAAGTTAAAATCGATATTTTATATTGAAATCGAAATCATTACATAACCAAATCGATTTTAAATAAATTAAAAAAAAAAATCAAAAGTATACAAGCAAACAGATATCAGGTCTGTTTATACTTAATATTGTTCATATGCACACTCATTGTTAAATTGGATAATAACATTGACTATACATATTGTTTATCATGCACAATAGTGTGTATAGCAAATAGCAATAACTACTAATAATTAATAACTTATGTCTAATATTTTGTTTTCTGAGAATGGAATATTTACAATATTGTATACATATTATAGAATAATAGGAATCGGGGTTCGACGAGCGTTTGTTGTTGACTTGTTGTTATTGCAAGTTTTATTTTGATAGGTACCTACACACATTTGGCTCATTAAATAAAAGGCTCGGAAAAATATTTTTTCGAATATTGTACATGATTTATTTCGTATTTAGATATTTTGTATTATGGCGATAAGATAACATCTTAGTCGTTGCCTCGTTGGCTTGCGTAAGTCGTGTATCGTGTTAAAACTATAACTAAAAAGTTTAATAAAAATATGATTTGTTTTATATTTTATAGATTTATATATATATATATAGTATTATTTAACAATAATTAATAAAACATTGGGATGTTTATAATGTGTGTCTTTATTGTTATTTATTTAAAAATCTCTCTTTAAGAAATTGAAAATGTCCAAAAGTATGGAAATTTATTAGCTCATTACTTATAAAGTTATAACTTATAAGGTACCTATGTTATTTTGGGTGGCTCTAGTGTTTATACTTTTATTATTAAAATTCTCAACATTAGCCCTTAGGTATTGTTATTTAAATGGTGCGACAGCAATTTAGTTGATATAGTTAATCAATATTAGAATTTAAGATCTAAACATTCTAAACTAAATAATTACTTTAACTTTGTTTGAAATGTCAAAGTAATAAAAAATAATAAACAATCATAGTTCAAAAATTGAAAATAATTCACTAATATCAGTGTTATTTAAATTTTAAAATTAAACTAAAATGGTAATAAAAGAAAACTATATTTAAAATCGAAATCATAATATAATTAAATCGATATTCTGCATCAATATAAAAATCATAAAATCTCAAAATCAATATATTATGTTTAAATCGAAATCGGAAAATATTAATATCGATAAGCAAAATTGAAATTAAAATCGAAAATTTTTATTTCGATTTCAAGCCCTGGCTTATAAACAATTAGACGAGTAATCAGTCTCAGTAAGAATATGTATGTGTGCCTATTGGATCAATAATTTCCAAGATTACCTACTGAATACTAATAACACACACATGACAATTTTTAAAATGTACAAAAATGAAAAAATAATACATAAAGATTAGATCTTTACTAAAATATAGTTTTTAATACATACTATTTTAATTCAAATATAATGTGTTTAACATTTATCAGAACTATAGGTAATAATATATTTAAATGTAGTTAATATTCAGTGTTGATACATTTTTTTAACTGCTATTATTTTTATCTAATATATGTGAACGTACATTTTAATTTTTAGAAWCTGATTTTCTCAAGACATTATAATATGTATAATATAATAAAATATACACCGTTCACTAATATTATATTATACATTATAAATGAAACCAACGTAAGAAATTAATTTTGGATAATGTTATAGCATTTAATAATTATCGTACCTATTCTTGAATTAATTATTCAAACATAAATTAATATATCCTATTAATAGCAGGAATAATGACATAACTATACAAAGATTTAATAGAAAAAACTTTGCTTCCGTAAGATAAAATATTTTTTTTTAAATTTGTAAATTATATAGGTAACCAAATAAATTTATAAAATGTTAGTGAACGGGATTTATTTTTAATTATATAGGGATTCTTAAGATTCCTTTTGAGTGATATTGGCTATATATAATGGCCTGAAATCACTAGTATATATCACAATATAGTTAATAGCTATATTATACTATATTATTACTCTGAGAAAAACATACTTAATTGTATATTTAAAGCACGTTAATAATGTCATTTAATATATTGGTATATTACCTACTAAATTTTTAAATTAAACATTTCTAAATAAAATTGGTTTCTAATCGGTTTTACATGCTAAAGCTGAACAAATACGCTGCTCTAATCTATCTTTACACCAAGTCCATGCAACATTTTCTGGAACTCTGGTACGTTGTTGTACTGCATTCATACCACATAGTGCTGAACATAATGACCACTCCGACCATGGCGAATAATTACATCCTATAAAAATCAGTTATATCAATAAATAAAATAATATTAACTGCCACAATAATTATGAATTATTCACAAAATTTTAGCTTAACATGATTTGCACAACTCCAATCGCGAGTACAAAATTTGTTTAAAAATCAACATCAAACAATCATCGTCATTAAGAGGACGCCAAACCCGCATGTGTTGTCTCCGTCGTACAAGTGCGTAGCATAGCAAATTTTACGCTCAACAGATCACGTTTATCTCCGTTATTTTAAAATTTAGAGTGAATTGACCTATTATAAAAATTAAAGGCAAGATTATTACCGAGTGCATCTCATAGGCTTTTTATTATATTTTAATTTTAAGCCGAGTTATGAGTATTTTTAGATATAAAAATTTACAATTTTAAAATACTCATTACTCGCTTTAAAATTAAAATATAATAAAAAGCCTATGAGATGCACTCGGTAATAATCTTGCCTTTAATTTTTATAATAGGTCAATTCACTCTAAATTTTAAAATAACGGAGATAAACGTGATCTGTTGAGCGTAAAATTTGCTATGCTACGCACTTGTACGACGRAGACAACACATGCGGGTGTGGCGTCCTCTTAAGATCATTTAAGAAGCTTTAACTTTGTGAGTCGTTTTTGATATGAATTCGGGTTTGGTTGGTACTTGGTACATTGGAGTTTGAAGTGTTAAAAGTAAAAATTATGAGTAAAAAAAAAATAAAATAGGTAGAAAAACTTGGTTTTTTACGCAAAAACTAATTTTCAAAAAAAAAAATTTTTTTAATTCATAAATTAATATTTTTTAATTTACTTAATTATTTACTAAATATTTATTTTAACATTTTTAAACTCGATATAATTTTCAAAATATTATAGCTTAATTTGAATTTAGTCGCATATGAAACATATGAACATGAATCGACATGAATAT